AGAAGATTTTCTTCTCTGTCTCTTATTTTTATTTGAAAGTCAGATGTACAGAAAGGAGAAGAGACAGGAAGATCATCTATCTGATGATTCACTCCCCAAGCTGCCGTAATGGCTGGAGCTGAGCCAATCCGAAGTCAGGAACCAGGAACCTCTTCTGGGTCTCCCACACGGGTGCAGGTTCCCAAGGCTTTGGGCCATCCTTGACTGTTTTCCCAGGCCTCAGGCAGGGAGCTGGATGGGAAAATGGGGCCCTCGGGATTAGAACCAGTGACCATATGGGATCCCGAAGTGCAAGGCAAAGACCCTAACCACTATGCTATCACACCGAGCCCTTGTCTTTGGTTTTGGTGGGTGCTATTCCTCTGTCAAGAGAGCATCTTTTTTTTTTATAAGATTTATTTATTTATTGGAAAGTCAGATATACAGAGAAGAGGAGAGACAGAGAGGAAGATCTTCCATCCAATGATTCACTCCCCAAGTGACCGTAACGGCCAATGCTATGCCAATCCAAAGCCAGAATCCAGGAACTTCTTCTGGGTCTCCCACACGGGTGCAGGGTCCCAGAGCTTTAGGCCATCCTTGACTGCTTTCCCAGGCCACAGGCAGGGAGCTGGATGGGAAGTGGAGCTGCCGGGATTAAAACCGGTGCCCATATGGGATCTCGGGGCATTCAAGGCGAGGACTTTAGCCGCTAGGCCACACCGCTGGGCCCCAAGAGAGCATCTTTAAGTATTCTTTGTAGGACAGGTTTGAAAGAGGCATAATTTTTTAACTTTTCTTTACTGTGGAAGAATTTTATTTCATTCTCAGGATTAAAGGAAAACTTTGCTGGGTATGCTATCTTGGATGACAATTTTTTGTTTTTAAAATCTGGAATATGTCATTCCATTCTCTTCTGGCCTGTAGAGTTTCCTGTGACAGGTCTTCTCTAAGTTTAATTGGCATTCCTGTATATGTCAATTGATTTTTTTCATGTGCACATTTAAGCATCTTTTCTTCATGTTTCATTGAAGTTTGATTATCATGTGTTTTTTTTTTAGTTTTTTTTTTTTAAAGATTTATTTTTATTATTATTATTATTTTTTTTTTTTTTATTGGAAAGGCGGATATACAGAGAGGAGAGACAGAGAGGAAGATCTTCTGTCCGATGATTCACTCCCCAAGTGAGCGCAACGGGCCGATGCTATGCCGATCCGAAGCCAGGAGCCTCTTCCGGGTCTCCCACGCTGGTGCAGGGTCCCAAAGCCTTGGGCCGTCCTCGACTGCTTTCCCAGGCCACAGGCAGGGAGCTGGAAGGGAAGCAGGGCTGCCGGGATTAGAACCGGCGCCCATATGGGATCCCGGGCGTGCAAGGCGAGGACCTTTAACCACTTGCGCCACCGCGCCGGGCCCTGTGTTTTTTTTAAAAGATTTATTTTTATTATTCTTTTATTGGAAAGGCAGATATACAGAGAGGAAGATCTTCCATCCGATGATTCACTCCCCAAGTGAGAACAACGGCCGATGCTATGCTGATCCGAAGCCAGGAGCCTCTTCCGGGTCTCCCACACGCGGGTGCAGGTTCCCAAAGCTCTGGGCCGTCCTCGACTGCTTTCCCGGGCCACAGGCAGGGAGCTGGAAGGGAAGCGGGGCTGCTGGGGATAGAACCGGCACCCATATGGGATCCCTGGCGTGCAAGGCGAGGACTTTAACCACTTGCGCCACCGCGCCGGGTGTTGTGGTGAAGATCACTTTTGGTCAACCCTGTTGGGAGTTCTGTGCCTTCCTGGATCTTGTTTCCCAATTCTGTCTCTAGATTAGGGGAATTTTCCTTATTATTTCATTGAATACATCTTTAATCCCAGCTGCTCTTTCTGCATCTTCTGCGACTCCCATAACTCATATATGGCCTTTTAATGGTGTCTTTCAATTCTTCAATACTTTCTTTAGCTTGACCTAGTTCTGCTTTCAGATTTTTGTTTGTTTCCTCCTGGTGACAGGAAATATCTTCCAATTTTGAGATTCTTTCTTCTCCCTCCTTCATTCTATCTTGGAAAGTCTCCATTGTACTTTTCATTTGCTCCACTGTATTTTTAATTTCTGATATGTCAGCTTTCATTTGATTCATTTCCTGTGTGACAAGCTCCTTAAATTTTTTGAACTCCTGTATTACATGCTTCTCATTCTTGATCACAAGTTTTACAACCATTGTTTGAATTCTTTATCTCCCATTTTCTTGATGTCTTCCTCAGTTAACTCTGAGTTTGACAAAGGGTTTTGCTCCTTTGCAGGGGAGTCTTCAATAATATTGTGCCTCTGTCTCCTCTTTGCTCTTGGTCATTGTACTTCTAGTTATCAGATTCTTTTCCTTGGGGCAGGTTTCTAAGCTCTGTCACCCTTAGGTCTACAGTTCAATTTTATTTATTGCAGTTGGTACATGGCTCTTTGTTTGTAGTCACTTGTACCACTCCCTCCAGTGAGTTCCAGGTCTGGGTTCTTATGTTAGACTCACACCTTGGTTTCTGTAGCCCTAGCTCCTGGCTCACCAGTCTCCATCTCTCTTGATACTGTGCTGTGACTGCACCATTGTCTCTACAACTTTCTCCCACTTCCTGTTAGAGCAGGCCCCAGGATTAGCAAGACATCAGGTGTCCTATATAGCTAGGTTGTTGCTGGTGCTGATTTTTTTTCAAGATTTATTTTTATTGGAAAGTCACATATACAGAGAGGAGAGTCAGAGAAGAAAAGGTGGTGCTGATCTTGCTGGAACCTGCTGGTTGTTACATCTGAGGGCCACGTGGACCTATTTTGACCCACATGATGTCAAAGTTGGTACTATTTTCCTGTGGCACCAGTACAATGTACTGAGTTCAGCGAGTTCACATAGCTCAGTGCATGCTTAGCTTACTGTTGTCCCTGCAGTCTTAAAGTTTTTCCACACTATACAAAATGGCACCTGATGTACCACTACTAGAGTTCTTGATCTGCTGGCTGTTAGGTCTGAGGGCAGGAACCTGTAAGATGCCACATTGTTGCAGTTCACTGGGCGAGAAATGAGTTCACTTCCAGCTCAGTGCATGCTCAGTACTGTCCATAAGGAGTCTTTGCCTCCTTATACAAAATGGCGCCCGATTTGGCTCTAGGGGGAGGACTGGGCTGTCAAATCCACCCTGTTTCCACACTGCCCGTCTGGGACCTGTTGCTCTGTCTCTGTTCCTGGCCAAATGAACAGACAAGCAGGACTGATAGTTCTTTGGGTTCACCTCCTGAGCTCCTGGTGAATGCCCCTTCTCACCTTATTCCTGGTGGACTTCTGGCTGCCGGTGCAGTTCAGATTGCCACTTGCTGAATGCTGCTGGGGTATCGGTCACTGCAACACCACTCTGTTGTGTCCACTGATTTCCTGTGTCTATAAGTCTTCAGGTGCCACTCTGCTGTTGTTCTGTCTTCTCCTATTTCCTGGAATGTGCCTGCTCTGCTTCAACATTGGCTAACGTTTCTCCATCTGTTTAAACATGTCCTAACCCTATTCTACCATCTTCTCCCTATTTAATTTTGTTATAAAATTCAGATATACAGAGAGGAAGAGAGACAGAAAGATCTTCCATCTACTGATTCACTCTCCCAGGGGCCCTGCAACAGCCGGAGCTGTGCCAACTTAAAGCCAGAAGTCGGGAGTCCAGAGCCTCTTCCAGGTCTCCCACGTGGGTGCAGGGTCCCAAGGCTTTGGGCCGTCCTCAACTGGTTTCCCAGGCAGAGAGCTGGATAGGAAACTGACGCCAGGACTAGAACTGGCGCTCATTTGGGATCCCAGTGCAAGCAAAGCGAGAACTCTAGCCACTAAGTTATTGTGCTGGCCCCAACCCCCCGAGTCTTCATTCTGCCTTGACTACAGGGCCATAGAAGAAAGCCCACAAATGAGAGAACAGAAACCAAGAGGCAGAGTGAGCGAGCATTAAACCATGCATGATTTATAGACTAGTAGGCCTCTATGTTCTACCATAGAAGGGACTGAACCTTAAATTTTTCTCTGTATACTTGGGGGCAGGGCTGAACTCCTCACACTCTTTGGGAACATACGATTTAAGGAAGGTAGGTTCTCCTTCACAAAAGGTCCTTGGGGAATGAAATAGGGAAAGGCGGGTTCTGGGGAGTGGGGTCACTGGCAAACATCCCAGCACACTCAAGGTTTGCGAGTGAGTGGTACTCTGGTGCCATGGCCCCCGCACTCCAAAGCATGGCCTCTCTCTTCACTCACTCAACTCCACTGCCAGGAATCTGCAGCGAAGTCCAAGTGAGAGGCTTCCTCTGTAGACACCCCTACCCTGTCTCCGCCAGGTGTCTTGGTTGGTTCATTCCCACTGGTAATTGGTTTTGCAGCTCTGTTAGTTGTTTCCCGTGTTGCTAACATTCAGGGAAGGGGGAAGTGGAGAAAGCTAACAATTGGAAATGAAGAGGGCCCATCTCCCTGATGCCTGCAAGCAGCTCTCCCATCCCTGTCCCTTCCTTCCTGGTGCTGCTGCCCCCCTACCCTCTGCTGCAAGAGTAACACCTACAGCCAGAACAAACAAGGAGGCCCCCAGGGCACGTGAATGCTTCCAACAGCCACTACCGGGGAAGAGGGTAGGCACCCCATGGCGGGAGGACCTAGAGAAGCTGGGAGGGGTGAAGTTGGGACTTGGGGGGACGGAGAGGAAATCAGGCAAAGATGAGCTCAGGGTCCCCAGAGAATGGAGTCTTTGTGTGGGGTGCCGACAAGGGACAAGGGGGTGATTGTGTGGGAGGACCGGAAGTGCCACACTGACTGGCACTGCCATAGCCAGCACCAGATTCACCCCTCTGGTATACTCCAAGAACTCCCTGCGCCCCAAAGGGTGCAGGACCAGATACGGTCAGGGACAGTGGGGGTTACCAGATGGCCACCAAGGGCAGAGGAGGGACGGATGGGGTGATGTGCAACTAGGGGAGAGCCACAGGTGTCTCCCTTCACGACTCCAGACCCAGGGGACAGGAGGCAGAAGGAAAAAGACAGAAGCGGTTTTTACTATATTTACATCCAGCAAAACTTTGCAGGGAACAATTCTTATTGCACAGGCCGGGGCCCAGGGATGGGCGGTGTTTGAGGGGGGGTGAGGCGTTTCCAGGAGTGAACAAGAAAGCTTAGGACTAGAAGGGGTACCAAAACCTCAAAGAAGGAGCACCCCCTGTCTCCCTTTCAGGAGCTACAACCCCCTGAGTCACGGCATCCAGTTTCCCTTCTCTCCCTTGCTTTCCCAAGAGCCTCACTGGCAAGGAGGCTGCAGCTCTGGAATAAATAACTTAAAACAAAATACAAACACGAAGGTAGAAAAGCGCGGAGAGTCCCAGGCTCCTTCCACAGCGCCGGGGAAGAGCGCCCACCGAGCGCCCACCATCGGCGGGGGATGAGACCCCTCCCCTCCCCTCTAGGGCAGAGGCGCCTCCGGCAGCTCTGTAGCTTTCCAGTTGTTTTTTAAAACAAAAACTTCTGAGATGACCAGGGCAGCGCTGAGCTGTGTGTACCCTGGAAGGGAGTTCCTGGGCGAGCACAGCGGAGGAACGGAGCTGTCCCAACTCCCCCAACATCATCATGAACAAACCAGGCAGGCTGGCCATGGAGGGATGGTGACGCACGCTGACAGCAGGTTCCCTCTCTTGGCTGCCCCCTCTCGGAGTCTGTGACTGCACAGGCGGCTTCCAGGCCTGTCCCCAAGCCCTCTGTGGGAAGTGGGTGGGGAAGCAGCTCAGCCTGGGACTCCTCTCCCTTCACCTCCCCACCGGAGGCTGGAGAGGGCAGCTGAAGGGGCGCTAGCATTCCAGAGGTGCTCCAAAACACTTTCGGCAGTCAATGGCCTTGGCTGTGGGCATCTGTGCCCGCCGCTGCCTCAGCTCCTCCTTGCCCATGCTGCTGGCCAGCTTGTTGAAAGCCGACTTGTACTTCTTGTCGAAGGCCCCTGGGGAAGAAGGGGGTAAGTCAGTCCCTGCCTTCCACAGTTGGCCCCCAGGCTCCCAGAATACCTCGCCTCCTCCTCACCTATGTCCATGTGGTCCTTGCCCATAGCAGCCATTGTCAGGAATAAGATCTCACGGTAGATGCCCCTGCAGTAGAAATGGAAGGGCATGGGGTGAGAGCATTAGGGGTTTGGAGCCCAGGGCAGACCAGTAGCACCCAGATGGGGATACTGTACCTCTGCAGGTGCAGGCCGCTGGGAGGGGGCCCTAGTGTTTCCAGCAGGAGCCCCACTGCCTTATGCACCTCATTGAGTCCAACATAGCGCAGCACCGACTCCAACAATGCCAAGCTAAGGGAGGCAGGGACTGGGCCTGGCCACATAACCCTCTGTGGGATCTGGCCTGGGCAGAAGGAAGGAAGGCCACCAGGATCATCGAGAGCCCCCGACACCGGACGGCCCCCTCCCACCCAAGGCCGACCCCCAGACTCACTGTGAACCCTCCAGAGCACATAGAGAGGTGGACAGCTATCGGGGTCAGGGGTCAGGATATCCCACAGCAAGCGCACCTGCACAGAGGCTGGGTCAGGGGTCAGCCGGGGAGATGGGGCCTGGAGGGCAGCAGAAGTAGAAAAAAGCAAGTCAAGTTCATGGAAGGAGAGGCCAAAAAGCAGACAGGTGCTGGCTGAGGAGAGCCAAAGAGGAGAAGGGTGAGGCGCCCCTCCCCTGACAAGGAAGCGAGCTATCAAGAGAGACTGTTTTGTGATATCCTACATGTCTGTGGCACCCCAAAACAGAATTGAAAACCTTAAAGGTGCTCAGCAGCTACAGGGGCTAGGGACAGAGCAACAGGAAGGAACCCTTTGCTAGTCCTGGGCTTCTCTCTGCAGCCCCGGGGAGGGGGCTGTTGTGATGCTCCCAGAGACCCAGCGCTGAAGCTCGGCATGGTAAAGGCAAAGGGAGAGGAGCCGAAGTGAGCACAGCACACTCCACAGCCCGGGCTCCTTTAGCAGCGCCAAAGACGCCACGGAGAGCCAAGAGGTCACAGAACCGGGAGACGAGGAGGCAGGGAGAGGCCCCAGTGTGGGCACTGACCTGGCCGGGTGGGGGCCCATCACATGGGGCCAGCAGCAGGCCAGGCAGAATACTGGGCAGGCCCAGCCGTTGAAAATACCACAGAAGGTTCCAGAAGATGATAGGGTGGGCAGCAGGTAGCTCAGGCAATGCCAGCACCTCACTGCCCTCGTTCTCCACTAGCGACTCCAGCTCCTTGCGCAGCACCAGCGGGCTCAGGTATGCCCACGCCCCACTGTCTACCCGTCGGGAGGTACCCTGTCCAGCACAGCATGGGAAGACAATGGGGCACAGTACCACGGCTCCCTCTCCAAAGCCCTGCCTCCCAGTGAGCCCCTGCTACTCAGTACCCACCTCTCCCCGGCACCCCTGCCTCCCTAGCCCTCCCATGCCACTGACCCCAAACCTTACCACCAGATGCCCGTTACAGAGCTGGGGCTCATCCAGGGCGAGGCAGAGCCTGCGGTCACTGAGCACGGGGCCAGGACCCCCAGGGACAGGGGCATCTTTGCTGCCACTGGCACCAGCAGGAGGAGGCTTGGGGCTGGCAGCACTGCAAAGGAGCAGGCAGTGGGGGAAGGACAGCAGGAGACATGAGTGCTGGGCCCTCTGCCTTCCTGTCCTGCCCACAGTTCCTGCCCGACTCTGCGCACCTGGGTCGGGAATCAAGGGTCTGGACACTGAGCAGGGGCACAAATGGACAGGCACAAAAGGGGCAGGTTGTGTTGAGGTTGGAGTCGTCCGGTGCCCAGCCGGCCATGATGTCTTCATCATACACCAGTGAGTCACAGGCACGGCACAAGGAACAGCTGGACAGCAGAATCTATGGGAGGAGACAGTGCTCTGAGAGCCCCTGCTCCTTCTGCAAAGCAGCCAGCCCAGACTCCTGCAGCAGCCACCTTCCCAGCCCGCCCCCCACATGGTCACATCTGTGTGGGAGGGGCTGTCTTTACCTCCAGGGAGGGTGGCTGCAACGAGCCAGGGGCGTCACTGAGGCGTTCGGAGGAGTGGCGGAGGCTCAGGCTGCTGAGAGAAGATTCTGAGAGGTCCCACTCGCTGCCCAGAGAGGCCGAGCTCTGCCATCGCACAGGAAAGCGTGGTCAGCAAGCCTTCATCCCTTCTCTCCGCCTGGAAGGCTGACTCCAGCCCCACCCCCCGCCGGCTCAGGGCATCCTTCTTGGACTTGCTCCCAGTAGGCAGCCCCTGCCACCACCCCATACCCCCAACCCACGTTCTTCCCCCACCACCCTGCCACCTCCCCATGCTCAGGCAGTCGGACCCTCCAACCTCAGAAGCAGTGGATCCGGGACGCTCCCGGGGCCGCAGAAGGCTGTCCATGGGGCTGCGGCGGGCTGGGGGAGGCAGGTCTGTGGGTAGCTCCGGCGGGGGGATGCGGGAGGCAGGGGCACGGCGGGAGGGAGTGAGCAGCTGCTGGAGGCGGGCACCCAGGCTTCGCCGTGGGGTGCCAGCCTCCTCCTGACGCCCCCCAGCCTTGGGCCCACGTCCATTCAGCCCTTCCAGGGCCTCAGTGGACTGCGCACTCAGGGCTGAGCCCGAGCCACTCGGGCTGCCGCTGGGAACCGGCTCCTCCCCGGTGAGGCTCAGGTCAGAGAGGCTTCCGTCATGCCAGGGCACGGGGGAGCCCCGGGGTTCCAGCACCCCCAAGGCCTCTATCACTGAGGAGGAAAAGAGAATCAGAAGGTTGTGTCTGGTGCCTCCTCCAGCTGCCTTCCTGAGCAGACACACACCAACCTTCATAGCCCTGACTGCCCCAAGGCGACAGTCTCTCCCTTTCTCCTGGCAGGTGCTTAGCCAACCTGTCTGGAGGGGCAGCCAAGGACACTCACTGTGGGCCACGCCGGTCTCCACAGTGGGCTGCGCCCCTCGGGCACTTCCCAGGCTCCCGCTCTTCACCAGGCGCCCCACGGGGGAGGCTGGGTCCCTCAGACTTCGCCCAGCCCAAGTAGTCTGGCGCTGAAGTGGGCGGCTGGGGGAGGGGCGCTCCAGACAGGGCTCTGCCAAAGGCAAGAGAAGAGGGGGTCGGAGGAACGCACCCTGACAGCCAGCTCCGACCCCATTCCAGGCATGGCCTGCATTCGCCAGAGTTCCTCCCAGGCCCATGTGCCCCCAGCCAGGTGGAGTTGCCCAGCCCTGGCGCTCCACACCTCCCTCCTTACGGCTGGCTACACCTGTGCCTACCTACCTGTCTGGGAGCTGCCTGCCTCCTCCTCCTGCTGCTGCTGCTGTCGCTGCCGCCGTTCTCTCAGGGGCTGGCGGAACTGAGCAGCCCCCAGGACGACGTTGCGTAGCTTGGCCCAGCGCAGGCGCCCACCTGGTGTGCCAGATGGCCACTTGCTCTCCAGCATGGCCTGCCGAGCACCGTGCCCATCAGGACGGCCTACACCCCTGCCCTCCCCTTGAGCCTGACACCCACTTCCCGTCCTGGGGGGCCTGAACCACCTTCCCCTTCAGATTCCCTGCTTAGGGCAGACTAATTGCATAGCCAGAAGAGCCCAGGAGGCCAGTGACCTCAGAAAGGGCCTAGAAGTCAGAAGCAGTGAAGTTTGTAACCTGCTTCTGCTACTTAATAAACTCTATGAATGTAAAGAAACTTGCTCTTTTTTTTGCGGGAGGGGGGTTATGAGTCACCTCATCTGAAAAACAAGGCAGGTGAGTAGCATAGCTGGGAGTGGCTTCAGGAAACATGGCCACACGTGTGTGCCTAACTGCCCCTGCCCCCCGCCCCCGTACCAAGTTACCAGTCTTACAACCTCAAACCCCACTCCCCAAACACATACAGCTATACAGGATAAGCCGGGGCTAAAACCATTCCACCTCAGGGGCGGCCATGAGGATAACCTGACTTCCAGGTATCTGGCATCACGCCTGCGCACCACCTGGCATGCGGCTGTCCCTAGTCAGAGACTGTCGGGAGTGAGACACGAAGCCAGCAAATGGGAAGGAATGGCATAGCGACGCCACGGAGCACGCAGATGCATGCCGGTGGTGAGTGGTTACTTCATGGGCCTGGCTTCACCTACAAGGAGCAGTACGCCCACCCCCACCCCACGCTGGCCCACCCTGGCCCCGGGCTCAATACCTTGTTGTAGTAGCCATAGGTGATGGTGTTGGGCACAATGCCCATGCGGCGCATCTCCAGCATGACCCGCACAGACAGCACAGGCTGCCCGTAGTGTGAGCAGAGCTGCATCAGCACCCGGTAACACACCTGGGCCAGGACAGGCATGGGATGCTGGGAAGGAACTCCACAAGCCTCCGCAAGCACCCTTCCCTGCCTTGCCACCCCTCCAGAAAACTCCTTCCTGCATACCCTGCCTCACCAATCCCAGCCTGCCCCCGTCTCCACTGCTAAGCCCAGATTTACCCACCCATGCCTGAAACCTCTGTGGAACACCCATCTGACCCCAGGGCTCCCTCTCTGCTTGCCCTGGTCCCCGCCAAGGCTCCTTCTCCCAAGCCTCACTGGGACCGACATGGAGGGGGTGGGCACACAGGTGAGCGAGCAGTCACCTACCTCATCCGGGAGCACCGCTTTGCGGCTCTCCATGTCCCGTAGCACATGGTAGGCTGTATGCAGCGCCCGCACACGGTTGGGTGCCGACCGCACGTAGGCAGGCAGACACAGGAACCACAGCCCGTAGCAGTGCCCCAGCAGGCAGCGGGCCCACAGCTCAGGCACCGCTGCTAGCTTCTGTGCCATCCGCTGTGCCACCTTCATCTCCTTGGGTGGGGGCGGAAGGCAAGAGACAGGCCAGGGTGAGCAGGATACCTCCCCTGTGCTGTGCAGATTGTGGAGATGCCTGCAGGTCTAGACAAAGTAGCCAAGCCCTGGATCCCACTGCACTCAGGACACAAGACGGCACTAGTGACAAGTGACCATGGTGACTGATGGCAGCTGATGGCCAGGAGCACTCCAACTTCCTGACATTCTTATGGGATAAGTCCTACTATATTTCCCATTGTACAGATAAAACCATAGCAGCAGTAGCCCTTGACCCGAACCAGGTCCCTGGGTGGGGCCCACCTTTTGGCTACCTGTTTGGTACGACGAGGGGCAGGGCTGCTGGGGGCACTACGGGATGGGCCAGGCATGGGCAATGCACCAGGTTGTTCCTGGGGAGATTCAAACAGCTCAGCCCGTAATTCTGGGAAGCCATCGTAGCTGGTGGGACATAGAGAGATAGAGGATATCACACTCAGCATGGACACGAGCCAGAGGGGCTGGAGACCAGCACACAGGGCCCCGGCGCAGGTGCAGGAGACGCTTACCAGAACTGGGGGGTGGGCTCAGTGCTGTCTGTGACCGGGGGCTCCTCGGGAGGCGTGATGAAGACAGTAAGCTCGCTTCCTGATAGCTCTTCTAGCTCCACCAGTGGAGTGGGCTCGGGCCTCTCCTGCTCCACATGCACCTGCAGCAGGAGGACACGAGAGTGGCCGTGGGGGCAGAGCTAGGTGCTGGAACTTACTCTGGAGGACAGAGAGTCAACAAAGAATCTGAAGCCAGCCTTGTCCAGTGTGCAGGTTGAGCACAGGGTAACCCCAGGGATGCTAACAATCCCCAGTCACAGCTGAAATGCAAACTTCTATTGACAGCAACCTGCAGGGACAGCAGAGACAACCAGGAGCGGAACAGACCCGCCAGGTGCCCAGAGGGGTAATGCCCAGTACCTTGTCCACACAAGAGTCGAAGAATTCCAGGGCAGCATGCCGAGCAGAGCCAAAAGAGCACTCCTCAATGAACTGGGAGAACATTTGCGTGTGTAGCAGCTGGGAGTACAGCTTGTGGCTGGAGCGCTCCCGGGACTTGAGGAAGCCTGGGGGGATAGGGGTCAGAGAAAGGAGGTCTCCCACAGCCTGCCTAGGCCCTTGGGGCATAATCACCCCACCTGCAGCTCAGCATCATCCCATGTAAATCCCACTTTCCAGAATTAGAGCTCTCCGAGGGCCAGTCCCGGAACAGAGCTTTGCTTGAAGTAGACCAGAGCGATTACACTGGGTCTACCCAAGTCCAGGCTCCTGAGGCCATGCCCACCTCTGCCTCCTCTTTGCACCCTCCTGCCCTCCCCTCCGCAATTGCCCTGGGGCACTCAGCATGCCTGAGCCCACACCCCCTTGCTCACCCTGAAGATAGAAAAGGTTGTCCACGTCGCGGGCGCCCTCGGAGGTGTGGGTGAGTGGCCGCAGGAAGTCGCGGTAACCCTTGAGCAGACAAGCCATGAAGCGGAGGAAGGCGCCCTGGACCTCCCGTTCCAAGCGGGCCCGGCGGCCGCACACCGCCTCGTAGTCCGTCAGCAGGAACTCCAAGGAGGCCTCCTGCTCGGGGCCAGTGTATGCTGTGGAGGGAGGGCTCATGGGGCGAGGCTCAGGACCCACCCACCTGCTGAGCTCCTCCACTTTATGCTGCCAGAGCCTCCGTCTCCGCGCCCCCTCCCCAGGTTTTCAGCCACCCCCAGACTCCAGAGCCAATCAGGGCTGAAAAATTCTCCCTGGGTTCAGCGAACTGCACTGTCCCACGGGGCAGGACTAGGTCTGCCCTTCCGTCCCCATGCCCCTCCCTGCCTCCTTAGGGACCACCTGGCACCCTAGCCTGGAGGGGCAGTTCTGGCTCCCCTTCTCCCCCAAGGCTACTCACTCTGGTCCAGCTGCTGGTACAGGTTAGTCAGTGTGGCCAGCAGCACCTTGTAGGGTTTGCGAGGCAGGGTCCGGGGGGTCAGGGGCTTCTTCTCCTCCGTCCTGTGAGAGAAGCACGCAAGGAAGGGTGAGGAGGTTCAGTGCCGGCCACCTGCCCTGCACACTGCTGCCCTCTCACGCCCGTGGCTGGGAACCCCAGCATCTTACTGGAAGAGTGTGTTGGTGTCCAGGTCAACACAGATGACATCAGCAGGGGGATCGTGCAGGTCAAAATAGCTGGAGTGGATGCCCACGATGAAGGGCACGGGGGCGCTCAGGACGTCCGCCAGCACCAGTGGGCACAGCGGAATGTAGGGGCACTGCCAATGCAGTGGGAAGATCATCTGCAGAGCCCAGGAGCGAGGGCCATGTGAGCGCAGGGGGCATGACTGGGGAGGGAGGGGCACAGGGCAGCGGCAGGCAGTGGCCTTGGGGAGGTGGGGCCTTCTGCAAGATCACCAGCTGGAGGAAGTGCACTCCAGGGTTCCCTGGGCTGGGCAGCGCTCACCGAGACGAGAGCCTCACAGACGCTGGTGAGCAGGTCTGGCCGCAGCGAGTGCACCAGCAGTTTGTGCTCCGTGAGCACGGCCAGCAGCAGCGTGACAGCCAGCTCGGGGCCCAGGCTCTGCAGCAGCTGCAGGAAGCTGGCACCGCTGCAGGCAATGCAGAGGTGCACAGGGCGTCAACAGGAAACCCTGCACACCCCACTCTCAGTCTCCCACCACCCGCACCAGACCTGCACAGGCCTCAACCACTGCACCTCCCAACCCCTCCAAGGACCAGGTCACATACCTGAGGGGCAGGGGCGAAGACACAGGCTGACAGAGGAGCAGGTTGTCGTAGGGAGACATCTGGGGGCAGAGGGTGGAAGAGCCACAGGCTGGGACGGTGATACGCTAAGTCGGCCCCCCTGCTTACCCGGATCTGTCCACCCAACACAGCTCGTGCCCTGGCTCTCACCTGCACTAGGATGCGGGGTCTCTGTGGGGAAGGGAAGGGGACGTTGTGAATGAAGTGGGAGATGTGCCTGGGGAAGAGAGGGGACCAAATAAGAGGCCAGCGGCTCAGCGGACTGTCCCTGTCCTGTCCTGATGAGCCTGCTTCCGGCTAGAACCCTGCTTTAAGGCGGACATTGGCCAGTAGGACGTCTAATCTAACAGAATTTGGCACAAACGAGAAACAAGAGCTTCTCTGAGCATGCGCAGCCAGTCCCTGGACGGGAGCCAACCAATAAGGAAGAGGAGACTGGACTGAGGCTGCACTCACAGCCCCAGCCAGTGACACCCACATCGCAGCCCACCTCCCACGCCCCCCTGGCCACTTTTAACTCCTTCCCAGTGGCGGGGATGCCCCGTGCTCACGCTTCCAAGGGTAGTCGGTGAGGGCCCGAGACAGAGTAGCGGTAAAGGAAGGTGAGGAAGGCCCGGAAGGCAGGGAAGGCAGGCCAGCGGGACAGCACAGCGATGGCTCGCCGGCTGCGCACTGCTCGGCCGCCTAGTGCCCGGCCCCGCTCCACGGCACTCAGCAGGCCCAGTGCCCGTGCCTGCCGCTCCGACAGCCGGGCCCTGGGGAACGCCTCGTAGAACTGCAGGGCGGCACCATACACCTGGCAGGAGAGGCAGAGGGCTGGTCAGGTGGGCCCTCGTGCAGCCTGAACCCCCGACCACACTCCACATACCCACCTTATCACCAGCGGCACCCGTCAGCACAAAAGTGGAGAAGACAGGCACGGGATACTTGGTCTGGGCGGGCCAGCACTCGATAGTGGCCCCCATGGGGAGGCAGAAGACGGGCACAGACTCGGGCAGCGGGAATGCCTCGTTGTCCTCCTCCGGATAGCGGCCCAGCAGTTCTGCACCCACCGGCAGTTTTTGGGGGTACCCAAAAGGAGGAGAGTCCATCAGGCTCTGGGAGGGGGGAAGATCCAGGGAGGGCCAAGTGGCAATGACAAGGTGCCGGTCAAGAGGAACTAGGGCAGAGGGGCCACTCACCTGCCTCATACACCAGCGTGTTGCCCTTAGCCAAGCCCACCTTGTAGCACAGGTACACAGCTGGGCCCCACTGCCCCGGGAACAGCAAGAGACAAGCAGACCTTCAGCTCACATAGGCTCTTCAGCTGCATCTTCTCCCCCCGCATCCCAAGTAGCCTTCAAGCCCCAACAATTGCAGTGTCTCCTTCAGCCCACACCTGCTATTCGAGGCCTTCATGCCCAGCACCCACCACGTTAAGTAGCGATGCTCTGGGGTCCCAGCTCTCCCCCTCCCGTCCTCCTGCTCCCCACTGAGCCCCACTCACCATGCCAGGGTTGAGGTTGCGTGGCAACCGGCAGTAAGTATGGGGAGTGCCCTCGCCCTTGCTGGGCAGCACCAGGCAGAGGTCAGTGATGCCCAGGGCATGCAGTCCTGCCCCCTCTGCTGCCCGCCGGTATGTGAGGTAGGTGCGGGGGTGCCCAGGGCCTGGAGGGGCCAGGTTAGCAGAGTGACTATAGGGTGTTGTGTCCAGCACTTGGAAGCCGGGCTTGGGACGTTCCTTGCCCTCATATAAAACCCTTGGCAGAGAGAGAGAATGAATGTCAAGAGGTTTGGGGGTGATGGAGAGAGGAAGACCCCAGGTCTGCCTTCCTTATCCCCAAAAGCCTGTCCTCTAGGTCCTCTGTCCCCCTCTTCCATAGCCCTCAGCTCTACTTCTTGGTCAGCAGCCACCGCACATGCACTCCACAGCCCCCAAACTCACCCATGAACACTTAGAATAAGCCAAGCTCCCACTGATGGGCTAGGAGCGGAGTTCCTAACATGAAGCGATCTCTTCTCCCTACCCCACAATGAGGTCTTTCTAGAGATGGAGAAGCCGGCCCACAGCAGGGCTAGCAGGGAGGAGTACTGACCTGTGAGCCCAGGCTGTTCCTGCTGCCCCATCCCCCAGCTTCTGGACTACTCCCCAGTTCCCGCTGCCCGTGCCTGACCCACACCCCTATCTCCTTTCTGTCTCACCCCAGAAGCCTCCCAGCCTCCCGCCGGCTGCCAATGCAGGGAGATGCACACACCCCAGCTCCACAAGGGGGGGCTTGTCACGGCCCCTGCGGTAGCAGATGACAGGTTGTGTTCCTCCCAGCAGCCCAGCACTGAGTTCCAAGGGATGGCCCCCAGCCGAAGCCTGGATGCATGTGTAGCCCTGGGGCACCTCCTCGCCCAGGGCTCTGGCAACGACGGCCACATCTGTGATGGGCTCTGCAGGCCGGCCGGGGCGCAGCGGACCGCTGGGGTCAGGGACCCGTGCATCCTCGGGCATGGGGGCTCCGTTGCCAGCAAGCCCAGCAACCACGAAGTAATCCACCAGCCGGGGGGGCCGCTCCTCTGCCATGGCCCCCCCCTCACTCACTGCATCTGGAATGTTTAAGTGGGACAGGAGAGAGATGAAGCAGAGGAGGCAGGCATTGCCATGGCAACTGGAGAGCCCTTCAGGCTACCCTGTTCCTCATCCTTCCCGGGAAAGGTGGGATGAGTGGTCAACCAATCCAGGACTCTCCCGCCTATGACATCATCAGGCTCTCACAGACCACCACAGCTCCTTAAAGAGACCAGTTTCCCCCACTCCATCCCTCTGTCCCCATCCCTCACCTAGCTCCTCTTCCCAAAGAAACCAAACTCCACCATGCACGGCCCACCGGGGCTCTGATGGGTTCCCAGCCGAGGGACCCCTACTACAGGCCCCAGCCCTGTTTGTGCCCTACACAAATGTCTACAACAGTATAGAGGTAGCCGCCTTTTCCTTAATAATGGCTCGCAATGACAACACTGCCCCTAGCCACGACATCACACCAAGCTGACACAAGTCTCTTCAAGGGCTTCTGACCTTCCACACAGGGAGGACACCCTAAGAACCTCAACGTCTAGCCTATGTTCTTAAAGAGTCCATGTCAACCATTTCCCCAGAGGTTTCTGGGAAAGCTCACAAAACCCCAACGTTTTGAATCTCCTCACCAAACCAGTGTCTTTTTTCCCAGCTCTAACTCCACCAATGTGGCCCCTCCCATCCTCACCCCCCCCCCAAAAGAGCCAGCCTCCCACCTCCGCCATCCCAGAGCCAAAGACTGCCCTTTGGGAGATGGTCCCTGCCATCCCCTGCACTCTCCGGCGGAGCCAATAGACAGGGCAGCCGTCCCCCACCAAGTCCTGGCATCGTGGGTTCTCACCTGCCTCCATTGCCCAACCCCAGGGAGAAGGAGACCCCAGGGTCTTGGGACGCCCCAGGGTGCGGCCGGCTGGGGAAGAGCCCTGAGGGTGGTTTGCAGCAGGCGAGGCCTGGAGAGTGCTATAGAGGGGAAGGGAGTTTACTTCCTCAAACAGCATAGGGGAAGCTGGGGCTCAGCGGAAGTCAGCCTGTGGGGGGGGCGGGTATGTGAGGGCAACGTGAGGGTCCCACTGCAGGTGCCAGCACAGCATCCACCCAGCGGCAACCTCAGGCCCAAGGCAGGGGGAGATTCAGGAGGGCCCAGTCATTCTCCCGCCAGGAAACAAGGAGCAAGAAATCTGCAGCTGGGCCTCTTGGGTAACCTGCTCTCTGGACACCGAACCTCAGCACCGGCTAAATTTAGCTCTATGCGAGCAGTGAGGCCAGGAGCCGGCGTCAGCCTCCTGATTTAACTCTAGGGAAGGGGCCCCCTCCTCCGCCATCCACTGCCAGAGAACGGGAACCGGGCCCCAGCCAGCAGTGGAGGATGGGGAGCGGGAGTGCTGGTGGGGACACAGGCCATTTAGGCGGGACTCTGGTGGCATCCCCAGCCAAGGCACCTGCGCTCCTGGGCCTGCCCTCCTCCGAATCCTGCAGCCGGCAACCCGGCACGGGAGCCATTGCCTATCTAAAGTCCACGCAAAGTTCGGGCTGGGGCAGAGGGTGCGCCGAAAGACAGGAGGCTGAGGCAGCAGCTCCTGGAGGGACCGAGGACGTGACGGCAGCAGCGCTGGCCGCCGCGTGACCCGAGCAGGAGGGGAGCGGGGAGCTCAGGCTTGGGGGGCCCTGGCGGAGCAGGAGGGGCAGGGGGCCCCCCCAGCACGGCCGGCTAACTCCAGCTAACTGCCTCTTCCCCTCCACTTTCACTTCCCCCAGGAGAGAAACCGGAACCAGATGTGCCGCGCTGCAGAACAGCTGGAGGCCATCCCCCCGCCCCGCGCGAAGCGCCCTCCCTCGCCTCCCCGCCCGCCGCCCCGCCCGGTCCAGCCCCTACCTGCCGGCCTGCCCCCGCCACTGGCCCGGCCGGCCGGCCCGCTGGCAGGGAGGCTCGGAAGCCGCGGGCCGGCGGCCGGCGGGGCTACCCGGCCCCGGACATGGCGCGCCCGCCTTGGGCGCCGCTCCCGCCCGGGTGGCTAGTGAAGCAAGAAGAGGTGGCCGAGGGCACCGGGGCGCGGGGCGCGGTGCAGGGAGATCCCGGCTGTCCCAGCGTCTCCTCCGCGCTGCGCCACGCGGCGGGGAACGGGGCTGCCGCGCCGCGAGGTCCGGCCGTCCGGTCCTCCCCGCTCCGCGCCGCGCGCCCCGCGTTGCCCACTCGCCCCGCACGGCTCCCCGCTCTCCGCCGCTCCGGGGCCGCCGAGCCGCCGCTGCCCCTCACCCCCTCCCGCCGCGGACCGGCGGCCGTGACCCTGGCTAGCGCCTGCCCAGCGCCCCGGCCGCCCGCAGCGCGACCTCTGGCGGCTGGGAGGGCCCCCTGCACCCAGGCGGCTTTCCCACCACCACCGCCCGGCTGCCGCAGGATACTGACCCCAGGCGGCCCCGGAGTCTGGGTGAGGCGCGCTCCCGTCCCGCCCACGGTCCTCCAGTCGCAAGATGGAGCGAGCATGCCTCGGGCGGAGGCGGCAGCCCCGAAGGACTAGGCTGCGGGGAGCCAGGTGGCTTCCACGGTTAGGTCACCCTGCATCCCTTTCCAGCCAGAGCTAGAAGCTCTCGGTTCCCGTTTCTGAAGGTGACAAGAGCTCTGGAAAGAGGAAGAGGGAGAGGCCAGGCCTTTTGGGTGTGGAAGAAGAATACAAGGAGGTGGGGGGTAACTGAGGAGGGGCACTACTGGGCGCGGAGAGGGCAAAGGCCAGGCAGGAGAAAGGCAGCCCAACCCGGAGAGGAAGGCTCTGGAGAACATGCAACGAATGCATGCATGAAGTGAATTCACACACAGGGCAGGAAGGAGGGCCCCCCGGGAGCAGGATGTCAGGGGCTTGTCCAGGTCCTCCAGGCTTGATGGAGGGCAGCCAGCCAAGGCCCTCCCGAACTCTGGAACCCCAGCTTGTGGAATACCTTCTTGAAAACCTTAGCAGTGAGGCCAACCAGCCACATCCAAGAGAGCTGAGGATGGTTCTCCCAGAAACATCACACCTGGGGACCCAACCAGCAGCCACCTCCTCACCCGACTCTTGGCCAGGCTCTGGTGGAGGAAGGGGAGCAGCTTGTGTGGCCAGTCGGAGCCCTTTCACTGATGATGGCAGCACCCTAGACGCTCAGGAGGAGGGCACACAGGGCGACTTCCTGCTGCCCCCAAGCCCACATCCATCCTAGGCCCCCATGTCCACTGCAGGGCACACTCAACGTGTCATAGTGCTAAGAAGATGAAAAAGCATGAAAGGTAAAAGGCCCAAGAACCACCCATGGATTCTCAGCCACACCCCAAACAGTAACAACCACACCAAGTATTTGATACCATTTTTTTATTAACATATAATATATTTAATAAAAAATAATATCCACTCTGGCTCTCTCCTCCATTGCAAAGGGGAAGAGTAGTTAGGAGGGGCTGGCACTGCCCACCCCTAGGAACCCGGCCGAGCCCTGCCTCCGGGGTTCCCTCCGCCCCTGCTTTCCAACAGGCTCTGACCTCCAGACAGACGGTTCAAAGTTACAAGTGCTTTCGGCCCTCCCTTGAGCTCCCCCAGGCCCACCCGCTATGCAGAATTCAGGGGCCACCGGGACAAACCCCCTGCTTTTCTCATTCTTGGGATCCTTCATTCATTTTGGAAAGAGGATCTTGGGGTGTGGGGGTGGGGACAGAGAGTCTACTGGCCAGGGGGAAGGGAGGGAAAGGGACAGTGATGGGGGATGACGGGCGGTCAAGGATGGTGGTGAGGTGCCCTCACTGGAGCCGGTCACTGCGGAATGAGTCCTCCACAGCAGGGTCTGGCAACAGGGCACAGGGGTCACTCAGCATGTTGAGACCTTCTAGGCCCAGCGGCTCCATGCGCAGCTCGTCATCCAGCCCCAGGCCCAGCTCCAACCCGCCTGCAGACACCTCAAAGCCAGGGACCCCAGCTAGGGCTGCTGCGATCTCCTTGGAGAAACCTGGGGAAGTGTCTCCTGTGGGTACAAGACAGAGGTGAGGGCCACAGACCCCTCGACTGTGTCAGTAGATGCTGCGCTCCTTCCTTCCAGTCCCCGCAGTGTCGCCAAGGCCGCCTTACCCGAGAGGATGATGTTGGGTCCTGAGCCGTGGCGGGAACAGTGGGTCAGGTTTTGGTGGTTCAGAGTGTGCAGGTCCTGGGAGCCACTCACAGGCCCTTCACCCCCTAAAAATCCAGGCCCTTCAGTAAAGCCAGGGGGATCCAGTGCCAGGCTGGTCGACGGGCTCTCCAGGCCGAACTGCTCCAGCTGTGGACATATGGGCAGGCCTTGACAAGGTGGCCTTTGGCACAGGGTGCCCTGGCCAGCACCCGTCGCCCTGCTCTCATCCCTTGTGCTCATCATTTCCTATCCACCAAGGACAAAGGCACAGAATACAGAAGACAGCAAGCAGAGCGACAGAAGCGAGCACGGGGCCCAAAGGCGGTGTGGGCACCGTACCTGCCAGGCCAAAGCACGCATGCCGAGCACAGGTGAAGGCAGTGATCATCAAAGAGAAGGCTGAGCAGAAACAGAGAGGGCAGGAGTGGGGGTCAAATACGGGAAGAGAGAAGCCCCAAGCCAGCACTGCTGTGTCACCCGGGGGAAGGGGCCCCACCACCTAGGTCCCCCCAACTCTTGCCTTCTGAGCCAGGGGTCCCAGTACTCACGTTTCCCAGGCTGAAGTCACTCATTGGCCGGTGGTAAGCCTGCTGTCCGTGCCCACTGGAGCCAGGTGGGCACAGCGCCCCATAATGTGGCGGTCTGCCTGGGGGCTGCCCCGAGCAGGCCTGGGAGGACAGCCCTCCTGGCTGTTGGAGAGCCTTAGGGGTAGGTGGCTGAGTGGGCAGAACCAGACTCGGAGGGCTGTATGGGTACGGGGGCAGTCGCTGATCAGTGGGCAGTTTACTGGTATCCAGGGGAACGCCCTGAAAAGAAGCAATGATAAAGGGGGTAACACACCCCTCAGTGTCCCCACCCCCCACCAAGAACTCTTAGGGCTTCCCATGTTCTTGAGCTGCAACTATGCTCAACACAGCGGTATTCCACAGGCACCTGCGGGGGTGGGGCCCGTGATGCCAAAGAACACGTGAGGCGAACACGAGGGCAATTTTGCATTTACTCAGAAGTGGATCATTCCTACACCCTGATATTCCAGCTACTGGCAGTAATGGAGTGCTGGTGACACACAACACCACAATGGAGGTGACAGTCGCCGCTCCAGAGCCTGCAAGAGGCCAGGGGGAGTGAGAGAGGAAGGGAGGAGGAGGAGGAGGAAGAACAGGGAGGGTGCCAGGCTCACTTCAGGCTCACAGAGGGCAGAAGGCTTGCTGGCTTGGCCTCTCTTATCCCATTGGGACCTGGGCAAAGATGGAACACAAACACACACACAATTCGGGGCCCAGCGATGGAGATGGAGGAGGAGGAGGAACCAGGGCAGAGGAGTGGGGAAAGCACCAGAGCACAAAGAGAGGTAGGGAAAGAAAAGGGACGGACGGGAAAGGAGGACAAAATGGGACATTTCTACAGCAAGGCGGGGAGGAACGCCAGGGTGACCGTTCTGCTCCCAACTCCTCCTGACCGTGCTGTGAGCCTACGAGAATCACTCCTCCCTGGGCCCCCCTGAGCTGAGATTCTCAGAGCAGGAATTCCAGGAAAGAAGGAGAGGAGATGTGCGAGAGGAGAGGCCGGGCAGCAAAGACAAGGAGGACAGGAACGAAGGAAGGGGAAGGGCAGGCTGCTTGCTCTTTGCTGAGCATCTGCCTGGGCTAAGTCTGGTGTGAGCACCTCATGGTTACTGCTTCATGCGCTCCTTCCAGAACCATCCTTGTATCAAAAACCAGAATGCTGGGGCCCATGGCCCTAGGTCAACTCATCAGAGCCAGAATCTGAACCCAAAAAGCTCAAGCCAGGGGTTTGCACTCCTAAGCAAAGAGGCGACAAGATGGAGGCAGAGGAGAGTGGAATGCAAGAGCTGAATGAGACAAGGGATGTAGAAGTTAGAAGAGAAGGGGGAAGGGAGACAGGCATGGAGGGAAGGCAGCCACGCATACCTGAGTGATGGAAGACAAGGTGGGTGACATTGTTGGCGAAAACTGTTTGGGCAGCTGCTGTTGGGACCTTCTGGCGTCGGCTGGGCCCGCGGGCAAACTCAGGGGGCTGAGGGGCACTCGGCGGTGGTGGCGGGGGGAAGCCCCAGGGGCAGAAGCTGGGTAAGGAGGGGCACCCAGTACAGGAGATGAAGTTGAGGAGGAAGAAGAGGAAGAAAGGGCTGGGGCACTGAGTGAGGGGTGGCCCAGGGAGGTGGTGGGCAGTGCATGGTGGGCCAGGGAGGAGGCGGGCAGGGAAGGGTGACTATGGGAGCCCTGGAGCTGGGGCTGAGGGCTGCTCAGGGAGGCCTGGAGGTTGGGATTGCTTAGGGAAGACTGCAGGGATGGGTGGCTGAGAGGTGAATGAAGTCCTGCAGGCACAGACAAAAAACCAGAGATGCCAACATTACTGATGGGAGCTGGGTCCCTTTCCAACCCAGGATGGGTAGCGATGACCAGACTATGGAGGTGGCAACACGATGTCCTCCCTACTCTGTCCCTGACAGTGAGTGAGCTGGGATGGCCTGCCCACCTGGGGGGCTTTTCCTCATCTTCTTGCCAGGAAGCACCATACCTACCAGTGCTCAGTGGCTGAAAACTGCAGTGAGGAGATGCTGGCGTGCAGGGCTGACTGGGTAGTCACAGGAGGACCCCAGTTCAAGACTCCACCCCCCCAGCTCCCCATTCCCTTCAGCCAGGCAGCACCTGGTGAGCACATGGGTTAGGACAGCCAACTCACCTGGGGCTTCATAGCCAGGGCCCAGGCCCAGGCCCCCACTGATGCCCAGGTGGGTCATGGTATGGGTCAGATTGGAGGTACTGTTGCCCCCACTCAAGCTGGGGTAAGTCGTCTCTTCAGGGTCCAGGGGGGTGGGCAGTGGCGGGGGAAAGTGCAGGTTGGTGAGGTCAGGTAGGGAGCCCCCCGTGTTCAGGGCAGGTGGGAGAACAGGCACATTGGCAGGCTGGTCAGGAGATGGGAAGATGCTAAAGCAAAGAGAGAAAAAGGGAGATGTGAATGGGAGTGGGGAGGCAATGGTCAGGGGAGAGCCGAGATTAGTCTCCCATGCTTCCCTCTCGCTCCTCCGTCCCAGCTCCTCCACTGTCCTCGCAGGGGCACTTACTTAATTCCAGGGACTTCACAGGACCGAGGCCGCGAGGAGGAGGAGGACAGCTGAGGAGAGAAGGGCGGGGAGTATGTGGAAAAGGAGGACTGTGCCAGGAGGTGGAGGGGGGCAGGGAGAAGAGCAGAGGGCTCTTGGGGGACACACCAGGGCCCACCCCTACCTTCTTAGCATCCCATGGCTTCAGCAAATGTTTGTCATCCAGCAGATTTTCCTCAATTGCAGGGACTTAAGAGAGAAGAGAGAGACTGGAGATGGGCAGGCTGGAGGAGGATTCAGTAGGGCAGGAAGGAAGCAGCGGTAGGGGGGAGGGAGTGCTGCTCCCTGCACCTGCAGAGTTACCCACACCAGCCCAGAAATGCTCTGGCACTCAATACCAGGTACCTGGAGCACATACCTTTGGAGTTCATCTCGCCATCCAGAAATCCTGCAGGGGGTGCAGTGGAGTCAGCCCCAGCACCTCCTCACCTATCTACCTGCTGCAACCCGAGGCTCCAGGCTACTCCCAAACCCTGGCACGTGGCCACTTACCCCCGCGGCGGCCAGGCAGGATGCTGGGAGGTGTGGGGGCTGGGTAAGTGTCCTGCGGGCTAGGATTCATGACGCTTGTGTGCAAGGCAGAGTCAGAGCTTGTCCTGTTGGGGCAGCAGAGATGTGTTGGCACCACTGACATCCTGCCGGGCCCCCTGCCCTGCCCAGAAGGGAGAAACACTAGCTGGGGAGAGGCAGGTACAGACGTGAGGAGATGTGGCCTGAAGGAGGTAAGGCCATCACCTGTTAAGTGCAGCTGGGAGTCGAAACAACTGCCCCTTCTCTGTTGGGAAATTACCCCAGGGCATCGTCCTGAGGTTAAAAAAAAAAAAAAGAAAAAAGTCATGAGAAGACAATGGCAATGGACAAGAAGGTGGGGATGGGCTTGGAGCAGCCAGAGTAGAAACAGACCAGGATCACACCTCGCTCCTGTTGGTTCTTTTGATCTCCATAACACCTGAGCCTCTACCTTTAGTCAATCTAAGAGGTCTGGAAACTTCAACTCCCTTCTCCTAAGGCGGGCTGAATATGGAATCTTAGGGCTCAGCTACCCTGCTGGGTGTGAGTACGGAAGGGAAGATGGACAAAAGGAGGCATTCACAAATATAACGGTGTCAAAAGACTACACCCTGGATAGAAGACAGCCATTTTCAGCTGCCATCTCGCCACTCTCCCTCCCCCCTTACACACACACCCCAGCCTGCCAATAGCTCCCATTGGTCCTGCTTGGACTGGACGGGGAGGCTTGGCCACCCGTGTCAACATGGCCAAGGCTGGACTCTGACCCACCTACTCCACCTGCCCCCACCCCTCACAGCCCTGCTGTTGTGGGAAGAGGGACTGTTGAAACCCTATTCCTGTGGGCCCAGCCCCAACTCAAAATCCCTCCAAAGAGGGTTAGCACTTGGGTAAGAGATTCCATCTGCTCTGGAAAACAACTCACCTTCGCCAGCTGGAGTCTGGGGGAGGAGATAAGTAGGCAGGACTGTAGGGAGAGCTGTCAATGTGAACAGCATCCGTTAAGGGGCAAAGCGGAGTGGGGGTGAGACCAGAGGGGAGAGGAATGCTGGAAGCAGCAGATGAGTTGAAGAAACTCATACCTTTCTCCTCAGTGACAAGGGGCAACAGTGGGGCCAAGGAATGGAGGAAAAGAATGGAATCAGGTCTTTAACTAAGCTAGAGGCTATCAAAGAATGCCTGGGCAGGGCTTGGAGGAGATAAGTGTGTAGATCTGAGATGGAAAGGTAAGAACAGGACAGAAGGACAGGCCAGGGTCCTTTAGCAGAAGACATACCAGGCAGCTCTGCCTCCAGCAACCAGGAAAATGCTAAAGCAAGGCCAGCCAGGGGCAGTCAGATAAGGAAGGCATGGCCCCAGGAGCAGCTGCTCCCGAGTGGGCTGTGGTCTTCTGGGGGAGTGCTCCTGAGAAGGGTGGGACTGGATGACCTGCCTGCTCCCCCTTCCCGCATCCCGCCACCCTGGCGGCCCCTCCCACTGGGAAGGATATGTGACGGGGGTATCGGCGGAGCGGGGACACCATCCTGCGGGGGTCTCTCTGCACCCGTTCCACTAGCCCGTTGTGTCGAGTACTCCGAGATGAATCCAAAGGTGAATGGAGGGGGCTCTGCCAAGAGGGACAGGTGAAATCAGCGGGGGACGCGGCCCAAAGCCTCAGCACCTCCGTGGCTGCTGTCTGCTCACCTGGAACTCGGCCAGGCCACAGCCAATCTGGTTCACGTTGGGGAGAGAACCGCCATAATGGGAGCTCCTTGTGTATGCCAGTCGCAGTTTCTGGGCCTGTAACTGAGGTGTGGGGGACAAATGGCAATGTCATGGAACTGAGCACTGTACCCTCAGGCCGTCTTTGCCATCCCTGTCCCCAGGATCTGCTGCTGCTGCTGCTATTCTTTGAAAGAATTTGTCAGATGGGGTAGGCATTTTTGTGCAGCAAGCTAAGCTACCCCCCTTGGAATATCAGCATCCTGTCCTGGAGTTGCCGGGTTCAAACCCTGCACTTTGATCCAGCATTAGGCTAGTGTGCCTCCTGAGTCCTGGCCGCCCACGGAGGTGGCCCAGGTGGAACACCTGGCTTTGACTGGTCCAACCCTGGCTGTTGAGGTGATTTGTGGAGTGAACCAGCAGATGAAAGGTCTGTGTATATATGTGTGGACGTGCTTTTTCCTCTTTCTGCCCTTCAAGTAAATAAACGATTAAAGCAAGGAAAGAAAGAAGGAAGGAGGAAGGAAAGAAATTTGCCAGGAAAAAGAAAAGCAAGTGCTGAGAAAAAGACCCTCCAAGAGCTGGTGCAGATGACCCTGCCTAGCCCTTGTACAGGCTGCTCTCCCGGGTGACAGCGCTGCCCAGGGGCAGGGCCCAGCCCCGTGCTCAGCCTGTGCGGCTGGAATGGGTGGAAGCAGAGCCCCCGTGGGGCTGCCAGGAGCTCGCATGGGAGCAGCCTCTAACAGGCACCTCTACTTTTCTTTCCAGATGCACTCAAAATTATCTGAATGATAAGAACATGGCCACCGTTGGGTCTCCCGGAACCCTGACTGCCAGTCTCTCCCTGCCACTCTAGAGAGCACAGGCGTTGGGCTCTGCCCCTTGCCCGGCCTCACAAGGGCTCCACAGAGCCTGTACCTCCCAGACTGGAAGAGCCAAGGGACCATGGTTCTCTTAGCTAAAAAACAGTGTCAAAACCAAAAGGTGCAGGCCCAGCATGGTAACCTAGCAGCTAAAGTCCTTGCCTTGCAAGCACCAAGATCTCATATGGGTGCTGGTTCTAATCTCCACTGCCCATAATCCAGCTCCCTGCTTGTGGCCTGGCAGAGCAGTCGAGGACAGCCCAAAGCCTTGGGACCCTGCACCCGAATGGGAGACCCAGAGGAGGCTCCTGGCTCTGGGCTTCAGATCAGCTCAGCTCCAGCTGTTGTGGTCACTTGAGGAGTGAATTAGCAGACTGAAAATCTTCCCTCTCTGTCTTTCCTTCTCTCTGTATATCTGTCTTTCCAATAAAAATAAATAAATCTTTTAAGACAACAACAACAAAAGGCACACTTTACTGCATCCTAAGGCCCCAAAGTAGCAGGAAAACCTGGAGAAAGGGAGTTGCAAAGGGAGCAACAGACCATGGCAGCCCATGTCAGAGCCATCTCCCTGGCCTTATCTCCACCAGGAGATAGATTTGACCACAACCCTCAGTCTGGTATGCGTGTATTCCATCTATAGGGCTCTCCTAGCCCTTGATGAGACCTCAGTACCCAGTCCCAAGCCTCAGCCATTGCCACCAGCCAACGACATGGACCTAGGGCTGCCAAGACGCAGACTCCAATACCAAGAGCTTCCAGGGTCATGCTGGTGGCCAAAAGCCAACATGAGGGACGACATTCTGTTCCAGAAGGTCAGCCCAGTCAGCTCACTGAGCACAATGCTGACCTGTGCGTCACTCCAAGACCACTTATAGTATACACATGGCAGGGGCGGCACTATGGCCAGGGCAGATGGGGGGGGGGCGGGCAGGGACACTCCCTAGGCACCGTGTCTCACAAATGTTGCAGCTACTCTACCTCCAACCCAGCTCCCTGCTAATGTGCTTGAGAGAGCAGCAGAGGATAGCCCAAGTGCTTAGGTCCCTGCACCCACATGGGAGACCCAGAAGCTCTTGGTTCCTGACTCCTAGCTTTGGACTGGTCCAGCTATGGCTGCTGTGGAGTGAACTTGTGGATGGAAGATCTCTCTCTATAACTGCCTTTATATATATATGTATATATGTATGTATGTATATATATATATATATACATGGCAATGCCAGCCTCTCAGCCATATAGGACGCCCTGGCCATGGTCATGTCTGCCTCAAATGAGCTCTCCCAGCTGGGCAGACAAGCTGAGCTCCAGGACTCTGATTTCTCTCTCTCTAGAAAGCCTGGGCCCCCGAGGCCTTGGCCATGTATGTCCACTTAGACTTTTCTGTGTGGCAGCCGCACCGTGAGTAGAGAAGGGGTCTTTGGCGAGACCAAGGCACCACACAGATGCCCAGGCTTTGAGTCTCCAGTAGCTCTTCTTTGTTTGCACATAGAAGCCCCAAGGGTGTACCTGGCCTCTGCTGGAAACACAGTCCAGACAGACAGTCCAGACAGCAGGGCTTCGACCCATCAACAAGAGACTAACCTGCCTCCCGCCTTCTTGCTTGTGTACCCACCACACTCAATCCACCTAAAGAGGAGCGGCCACCAGGCGAGCCACAATCCACAAAGTGGTGAGGGTGGGTTACGTTTGTGCACGCACACACAAACGTACATGTTCGATTGGCCTCACCACCTAACTTTCTCTGACTCCCACAAACTAGGGCACATAGTCCCAAGAGACATGAAAAGGAAACAACACCAAAAAGACCCAAACAGACCCAAGGGAAATACACACAAAAATGCAATCACAGTTCAGACTGCTATAATCACAGGAACAGCGTGGGCATGGGCTAGGTGTGTCCTACCCTCTCCCGGTACATTCCTGCCAGCTCTGCCAGGAAGGATGGCTGCAAGATCTTCACCTGCTGTTTTGAGAAAATGTCCCTACAACAGGACTGCATGCCCGCAGGGCAAATCCCCAACCCTTGCCGCTTGTGACATTCAGCCCTGAGAAGCAAGAAATCAAGGCCAAGGGGGCTTCGGGAAGCTTCTGGAATGAATATTCCCCGCACCTGGAAGATCCAGGTACCCCACAAACTGACCCACGATCAGCCATCACCCAAGGAGGCCTGGCCAGTCATCTCATCATCCCACACAATCTACCTGGTTTGAGGGACTCAAAGCCCTACATCTCCTTTAGGGCCCAAAACACCTCGCCCCAGTCTGTGAGCGATGGACCTCACCTCCCGTCGCATCAGGAAACCACAAGAAGTATTTGAAAAAGGAAGCAAAGGGACGGGACGCAGGAGGGGACTTCCTGCCCCCACTACAGTCAGCATTGCTGGTTCACACCACTCTAGGGGCCCTTTCCTGGAGATACCCGAGCGACCGCGGATGGCACAACTGGGCAGAGGCATCAGTGTCCAAGAGGGGCCGGATTAGCAAGCCTCTCAACCCATAATCCGACGTCAGAGGGGACTCCATCAGGGATGCACCAGGAGCGCTCACGTCCTCTTTCCACCAGACCTCGGGGGACCATCTCCCCTCTCCGCGCACTCCTGCCTCCTACACTTGTCTCCTTCTCGCTCTCACACCCCAACCCCTCTCCAGTGTTTCCGTCTCCCCCCCATCACAGCCGTCTTCCTGCCCGTCGCCCTCAACCCGCACGCTTCCCAGACGGCGGCGCCCGCTGCCCGTGCCCGGGTCCACCTCCTGGGCTCAGGCTCCCGCCCCGCCCCGCCTCTCGGCTCTCCGCTCGGTGAATTACTCCACTTGGCTCCCGCTCCGCAGCGCGGCCCCTCACCCGGGTGGAGCCGATGTCCATCATCACCTCCTCGAAGGCCGCCGTCTCCTCGGCCTGACGCTGCTTCTGCAGCGCGATCTTTTCACTAAACTTGCGCGGATTGGAAGCTGAGGCGGTGGACGAGCCGGGCCCGTTCGCCCCTGACGTCGCCATCTTCCTGCCCCGTCCTTCCCCGCCACCTTCCCAGTACCAGCCGCGGCCTTTGCCGCGGGCTCCGGCCCGGCTCTGTCAGCCGTAGCCGCCGCCGCCTCAGCCAGCACCGCGAACCCGGCCCCAGCCTAGTCCTGACCTGCTGTGCGCGGAGCCCGCCGGGAATTGAAGTTTGTTTACGTGACTCCTACAAACCATTGGTTACGTACTACCGAGAGGAAACGGACTCCATATCCCAGCAGCCTTGCTGACTCCGGGAACTGGGGGCCTTCCTCCACCCACTTGGCTACTCCCTGAGCTGAGCAAGCTGGGAGACGTAGTTCTCAACCAGTCCGAGCGCAGGATTAAGGAAAGGAAAAGAAACGGGAAAAGAAAAGTGGAGACAGGGAGGGGCCGGAAAAGAAACAAAAGGAGAGAGAGAAAAAAGGACATTATTGGGGCCTGAGGGAAAACAGTGAGAATAAGTATCTCAAACACCTGTAACCATCTGGGACATGGGTTCTCTCCAGGGGTCACACAGCAACCCTTTTCCCAAGACAAACGAAGCAAAGACAGTACAGATGTATATAAACATTTTATTTGGGTAACATGTCCCAAAACAAGTCAGTTAGTAAAATAGATTCTACAGAATACAGCCCTATGCCTATCCCTCCCTCCCCAAAAATAACCCGGGTGGATAGGCATTTGTTCCTCACCCATTCGGGCTACGTAGCTATTAAAAAATGTTGTGGTAGCTCAGTGTTTATCATTTGGGCATGGGGCACCATGTCCATGTCCCACATTTCCAAGATGCAGCAGTGGTAGTAGCCCCAGCTCACCCATCCTCCCCTGATTTACCCACTAGCAAACATTTCTGCACACCCCTCACCCCACTCCACTGAGGATCTGGACCAGAACAAAGCAGATCCAATCCATTGAGGTGCTGGGCAGGGATCACTGCCACATCACTGTGCTTTACAAAGAGGGAGAGGAGTTATTTGGCACTTTACACATAGAAGAGTGGGCACAACTGGAGAGGCCCCAGAAGGTACCAAAACTGGCATGGAGAGACCCTTTGGCACAAACCCCTGGGGAGAAGGAAAGAGGGAAACGTGTATAAGGAGGAGATAATGAAAGTGAGAAGTCTCCTCCGAATGGCAGGTGCTGTGATAGAAATGGGCTAGAACCCACAGGGCACCGAATCTGGCACGTGGGCAGCTGGGGGCCTATCGTGGGCTTCCGCAGTGTCAGTTGACCCTACACGTGGTCCCTTGCCAACCAGGGCAATCCTCTGATCCTAATGTCCTTTGATCCTATACCTAAAGACTTGACCTTCTCTCAGGCCAGCCTCCTGCCTGCCCACTGCCTTCCTATTGGTCAGGTGGTCCCCAAGCCTCCTTCCCTACCTCCTGGAAAACTCTTTAGTCCTCGAGCCCTCCCTTCTTCATTCCTTCCTAGTCCCAGTCTACTGGGGGTGAGGGAGCAGGGGTACCTGCTCCTCAGGCTTCCCTGGCCCCTCTCTTGAAGCCTCCTAGATTTGAATAAAGAGCAGGCCAGTGAGCAGAGCAAAGCCGGCCAAAAGCAGAATGACCTTGAGGATTCTCTGCTCAGAAGTGGCCAGCTCCTGAGGCAAGATTTCCAGGAAGGTGATGTAGAGGAAAGTGCCAGCTGCCATGCCCTCCAGCACGGACTGGGCCAGCTGGTGCAGGGGTCCAGCTGACTCTGCCAGAGCTGCACCCAGCCCAATGCCCAGAGGTGTCATACAGGAAAAGAGGACCCCACAGCCAGCCACCACCTGTGCCCGCAAGCGACTCTGCAGCAGCCGCAGGGACAGGCTGACGGCCAGGATGCCCTTGTGGAGCAGCAAAGCCAGGCACAGCTCCATGGCCCGAGCCCGGTCCCGCTGCAGCCCCACGGCCAGCCCCTCGAACACAGAGTGCAGGGCCAGAGAGAAGACCAGCACGCAGGCGCGCAGGGCTGAGGGGGCTGCTGGGGCTCCACTTGCCTGGGGGACCCCCAGCCCATCATGCCAATGCTGTGGCCCGCCATTCACTGTTCCCAGCAGGGCCCGTGTTTCCTCCCGAGGTGGCGACCCCGACTGCTCCTTGTACGCCAGTGTAATCTGTTCCATCACCAGGACCAGGAAGAAGCCCATGGCCAAGATGAACTCTTGTAAGGGGAACTGGAGCTGTAGACAGAAGGAACAACAGGAGCTCAGGACAAGAATGGCGAGGAGGAATTTGGTGTGGACACTGTAAAAGCCCAGCAGCACAGAGTCCCACACAGACCCAGGGCCACGTGCAGTCACTTCAAGACTGAGTTACTGAGTTACTTGCTGTCACAGACACAATCAGACAACACACTCAGTGTTATTTGTTGCCCAAAGCCTGCACTGCTAACATCTGAGAGCAGAGATTTCCTTAAGAGAGGAGCTGTGCTGTGCACTGCAGGCTGCTTAGCAGCTTCTCTAACCTCCACCCATCAAACACCAGTACCAAGAACAGCTCAAGGACCAGTGTTGTGGCACAGTGAGCAAAACCACGCCCTTTGATGCCGGCACCCCTCAGGCGCACCTGCTAATGTCCCAAGTGCTCCACTTCCAGCCCAGCTCCCTGCTAATGTGCCTAGAAAAGCAGCAGATGAGCCAAGTGTTTGCGTCCCTGAACTCACATGGGAGACCCAGAGGAAAGTTCTTGGCTCCTGGATCTGGCTTGGCCTAACCCTGGCTGTTACAGCCATGTAGAGAGTAAAACAGTGGGTAGAAGATCTCTCTTGTCTTACCCTCTTCTGTGTAATTCTGACTCTCAAATACATAATAAATATTCTTTAAAAAAGGAAAGAACAACAATGGCTCCTTCTCTAGTTGTGATAGTCAAAAACAGTCTGACACTATTGAAGTGTTTTCCGGAGGGGGCAATACTACTCCCAGTTTGAAGTGTCCGTTGTGGGCCCAGGGCGGTGGTCTAGAGGCTAGGGTCCTCGGTTTATGTGGGCCAGGATCCCATATGGGCGCTGGTTCTAATCCCGGCAGCTCCACTTCCCATCCAGCTCCCTGCTTGTGGCCTGGAAAAACAGGCCTTGGGTTCCTGCACCGAAATGGGAGACCCGGAAAGAAGTTCCTGGATCCTGGCTTCGGATCAGCACAGCACTGGCTGTTGCGCTCACTTGGGGAGTGAATTATCGGACGGAAGATCTTCCTCTCTGTCTCTCCTCCTCTCTGTATATCTGCCTTTCCAATAAAATAAATAAATCTTTAAACTAAATAAATAGATAAATCTTTTTTAGAAATGAAGCCTCTGTTGCGGCCAGGCTAAGGTTGACCCATTCCTGCCCCGTCCCACATGCCGAGACGGAGTTTCACACTGCCACGGGGGCAAGCTGGCCAGTGAATACAGCCACAGGTGACTCAGCCTCAGACCCTTAGAGGATTCTACCCAGTGTCACTTCCTTAATCTCGGGGAGGGAACCCAGGGTGACTTTCCCATACCACTACCCAACTGTCACATTTTTTTCCTACAGCGGGGCCTTTGCCTAAGCCTTGAGTTTTGATTGTTCCCCACACCCCACTTCCTGGAGCTAAACCCTTCTGAATCCACAACACCCAGCCCTTGGAGATTGCTTCCAACCCTTGGCAGGCCTACAGGGACCTCTAGGAACCTAGCAAGGGAGCGAAAATGATTTGTGGAGCCTACAACTGGGACTGAGAAACATACAAGCAAGTCACACACGTAATAATGAGGTTCCACACACTGTCTCAAAGGGTACACAGGGCTACTGGATGGGTGGGGGACACGGAGAAAGTTATAACCCTTAAATTAAAAAAAAAAAAAAAAAGAGTATTTACATGATCACAATTCAAGCATGTGATTATATTTCACACAGTCGCAGAGCTGACAGCTGAACAGATTCATGCACACCAGAATCCATACACCAGAAGTATCTGATTGGATACATCCCCCGCCCCCTCACCACACAGGGTCACATGCTGCAGGTAAGCGCTCACCGTCACATGCAAGGCTGCCAGGGCCTCATCTATGGCAGCCAGGTAGTCGGGCAGCAGGTCTAGGAGACAGGTGGCCAAAAAGACGCCCCCTGCAAAGCAGCTCACGAGGCTCAGGGCTTTCTGACGGGACGCTGAAGGAAAGCACAGTGTGGAGAGGAGGGAGTGAGGCGAGGGATCCCTTCCAGGCCCCAGGCAGGCCCCCACCCCACCTCAGCCCCCTCTCCGCCAGCAGCCACGGTGGCTCACCTGAGGCCTCATAGCTGGCTCCAGGCCGGCGCAGCACACAGATGGGCACCAGGCTGCAGAAGAGGGTGAGCACCAGCAGCAGTGCCAAGGCCCCAAGCTTCACCTCCAGCCCCACCGGCACTGGGGGTGCCGAGGCCACAGCCTCAGGCCGCCACACCAGGAGCCCCGGCTCTCCCCAGGGCCCCATGCTTGATCGCGCTCTTCTGTGCCGGGACTCTCAGATCTGAAAGATGAGATCCAAATGGGCGGTGAACAGCCAGCCGTGCAAGGAAGGAAGGATGGGGGCCCAGGAAGAGGAAGCCTGGTCAGCAGGCTCCAACTCCCTCCCGCGGCCAACCGGCCACCCAGTGACCTTCCCCAACTCGGGGTGACTCATCCTCTCCGTTCCAGGAACACTCTTCGTTGCTTCCAGACTTGATCTTTCCCAAGAGGCTCCCTTAGGAAGCCAGCAAGGGGGCAACTAAGGCACAAGAGGCACCAGAGAAGACCTCGTTATCCCCTTGCCTCTGAGGCCCCCCAGAGAAGCTAAGGGGGAGCCTCCAATTAGGACCCGGAGCTGAGGGGTGGGTGTGGAGGGTTTCCTAAGCAACCCAGGAGCCAGGAAGGAGGAAATGAAGCCAACAGGGCTGGAGGCTGTGGGAAGAAATCACAGGATCATAGGAAACTCCGTGCAGAGCGGCTGGGCCGGGCGAGCGGGGCTGGCGAGGGGGCTCCCACTCTCGCTCCCAGCACCCCAGCACGATCACCCCCCACCCCGCCCCAGGGCAGACAGCGAGAGCTCCACACTGCAGGCCGAGACGTCGGGACCCGGGGCCAAAACCAGGGGCTTGAGGGGTCCCGGGGTCCCGGGACAGGAGGAGCGGGCACTGAGGGCGGCGTCTGGCCGTCTGCGCTCCGGGAGGCGGGGTCCGAGGCCGCCAGCGTCGCGGGAAGGCGCCCGGGAGTGGGGGCTCGGGCTCCCAGGCCGCGGGAGCCTCGCCGGCGCCCCGGGACCCCGCACTCACCTCGCCAGGGTCTCCCGACATAGTATCCGCTGGGTTCCGGCCTCCGGTCGGGAATTCCCGCCCCCGCCTCAGCGCCCCCTCCCCCCGCAGCCGCCGCGTCCCCACGCGCGGCGGCCAATGACGGAGCCGGGAGGGCGGG